AACGAAATCATAAACTAGCTGTAGAATGCTTAAATTAATTAGTTATAGTTATTTTTAATTCTTATATATATTCTTGGAAACAAAAAAATGGTTTTAAAGTGAAGAAAAATTTTAACTAATATTCATTATCAGTGGTCTTTGAAAATATGTAATGGCTTAATTGTCCATTTGTGTTCTAAGTTAAAAACAAATTATTTTTTTTTATATGAGTTAACACTTACTATTATTATATTAATATAATAATATATATAATATAATAATATGTTTTAATATTAATATTTTAAATAAATATTCGCTCTTTGTTTTATGTTGTTCTTTTGACCAATGAACACAAAGTGACATTACATAAAATGTTAAATTAAAACGAAGTCTCAAGTAGAATCGGTCATACATTGACACTAAGTAGGCATTTTATGCGCCATTCACCTATCTTCGTTTACTCATAGATGACGCTGCACCAATAGTTTTTATAGTACCATCGAAATTTACTAGTACTATTGAACTTTATTATCAAATTTTTATATGAGTTTTAAATGAATAATGACACCTATTACTGCACATTGAACGAATTAATTTTGTTAGTGCTGACTAACTACCTTCATATATAAAGGTCTGAACTCTATAAACTCTTGAAATTCATAGACTTTTATCCAGTTAATATTTATCATCTTTATCAGTAACATAAGGATAGCACAGTATAAACTCATTTACTAATTTTTTACGATACTATCTTATAATTGTATACCACGCTCTATTGCATACACCAAGCAACTACTCTTCAATTTTAATTTACATTTTTATGCTTTAAATAGTTCATTTGTTCCACTGTTTGCTGTCTAATGTTTTTACAGTGGAAAGGACATTTTTATGCCGAAGTTTCATGTTTGTTTTGTGAAAGCCATAAAAATCAACTAAACTCTTGCTGACATAGTTAGATTGTTGTTCTTTTCTGTTCTTTTTTTTTTTTTTGTCCACATTGTTGTAAAGACTCTTGTTGCTCCCTCGCAACCTTGTAGCAAGAACAGGCTTAATTGACCCTAAAAGAGCTTGTAATTAAGTGTACTTTTGGTGGAACAAAGTAAAGAAAGTAAAGTAAAGTAAAGTGAAATGAAATGAAATAAAACTTTCTTTTGAAATAGTTGCTTAAAGTAAAGTGAAGTGATATTAGAGCACCACCAAAAAAGGCTATATGTGTGGGGTTCTTTGGATTGTTAATTAGTACATAAATGTTTGCGAAATATATTTATGTGTATTTGTATTGTTGAATGACGACGTGCTAAATTGGAAAGAAAAGTCGAAAGTGAGCAGATTAAAATCGAATGTTGCTATACTCACCAACTCACCACACAACAAAAAACAAAAAAAAAAAAATTATCATGGAAAGATTTTCAATTTTCAAAGGGAATAAAGGGAAGAGAAGCTAAAAGGGAATAATGTAGAAGTGATTTTGTGATTTTGTCCTTTCTAAGAATTCTCGCTACCCTTGTACTCATACAATAAAAAGCATCTGCTACTCAAAAGCCAAAAGCAAGTAGCGTTAAGCTTCATTAAAAATTTATTTAAAAATATGCAAATTAGCTAAAGTTTTACTTTGGTATTAAAATTTTTTCTTTTTTTAATAATTTCTATATAGGTATACAATTATACGAGATACGATAGTATGTATACCATTTATAAAGTACATAGTTGGGAAAATAAATTATTTTTCTTTGCAGTAGAAAAAAAAATGCTGTTTGTTATCACTATAAATGTCAACAACGTTCAAGCAATTTCAAACTCGCTACCACTGCCACTGTTTTAAGCTGTTGACATTCGTAGCCTTTCCACTTGTTGTTATCATTGTTATCTTTCCATGAACTCCTGCTGCTTTGTAGTGCACCAGTCAACAATATGTCGTCGACATTATGACAACACTTGCCACAACTAAACCAATCAACCGACCAAACAACGACCAACAAATCTTCAAGCAGGCATAAACTTTTTACTTTTAAATAGATGCACTCATTCTCTTTAAAACTGAAGTATTTTTTATTTATTTTTTTATTTATTTCTTTTCTGTTTTTTTAAAGGTGTCTCCATTATTTTGTATCCGCTGGGATAATATTAAATTTATGACATTGTAGAGAGAGAGTACTACAGCGTCCATACTCCTCAAAGGCTGCAGGACCTCTTGCGTGTGTTTCACTTTGATAGCAAATAGCCAAACCACATACGTTACTCCTTGTATTTAAGTAGGCGTAGCCAAATTGACAATTCACACTTCCGTTGGTTACGACGTATACGACATATACGACGAGGGCAACAGGAATTTTAATATAAAAATACCAACAACAGCCACAGCCGTATAAGTACCACATAACTTCCATCTTATCGCTATAATTACATTTTACTTAATAAGCCCCAGCCAAGTATCTTCATTATTTATGTGCTTAAGTCTTTTAGCTGCTTGGCATGACACCTTCGTCCTTTAGCACACGATGTGAGAACAAAATGGCTCAACTGGTTTTATATTTTTAATATTACTGATGTTATCCTCACCCAGTACACACCTCACTTTAAGGTCTTAAGATACTCGTACTGGATTGTTCCCCAAAAAATATACAACAACTGAATCAGCTGTGATTTTTGAGTGCTTAAGTTTTTATGGTGGAGTGGAAAAGTTTTTCGTTGAAAAAGCAGAGTAATTAAAACTCAAGTTAACCTTCTTTTACGTTATTAAAGTTTAGGTAGAGTTCAAGAATTTTATAAGTGCCTTTAAGTGATTCCTTGATTGTTGAGAGACCAAAAATTTAATATTATTTATACAATGACAATAAGTATTGAGAATAATTACAAAAACCCATTTTCACACGCAATGCCTTCTCTCCGCTGTGGTGTTGTAAGCATAATTTAACTCAATATATTACTATTACTATTAAAATGAACAATCATATAACAGAACCTAAAAATTTTGTTGTCTTATACCTGAAGAATAAATGTTAGACTATGTAGATAGTCTAATAATGGATCAGCTTCCATTATTAAATTTTTTTTAGAAACGAATTTTTGACTTATTTTTAGTACCGTTTAATAGTCCATTCTAATCATATTTACTTTATAATTTATTTTCACTTATTTAACCCATTAAAGTCTACCTATAGATCTGCCCGTACGATATTGATCAAATTTTAATGTATGGCTACGGAGAAAGTCATGCTAATATTACTTTATTCAGGGCGTATATTTAATTGGTAGCATCAAGCTGCAATTTTTAAATCGGCATATTCTGATAGAGCAGGGCTTTGATATTTTGTTTTATCATTTCTTAGATTAGCTTGTATGTAAATGAGCGAACAAACAACTATACTCCATTCCAATAACTATTTAAAATTTATTGATTATTTAAAAACAGGATATATCACCCCATTTGAATGTAAAAAAAAAATCCGGATCTAAAAATAAGACAGAACAAAAAAAGCGTGCAATATAAGACAAAAAAAATCCATAGAAATAGCTTGAAAAAAATCAATAACAGATGGGATAAACTAGAGTGTATCAAAATGCCAGGTATAGATCTCAAGATCGTTGACGATATCAGAGAGAAATACATGGTTGAAACCATTATAACTCTATAGCGTTCTATTGCTTCATTACCTCAACAAAATATAAGCTCAATCCTGGGTTTTTGTCTACTAAATAGAAAATTTTTATTGAATTGTGATCATTTTGTGCTTATTATATACTATAGATAAAAACATAAGAACATACCAGAACATCTTTTAAACGACCCTGTACATATTAAGGTAACAGTTAAATATAATAAAATATCTGTGTTAAAATCTTCAGCACTTATTTGATTGAAGGACAACCATATGAAGTTCATTGTTTATTTTTTTCATTAATTTTAATATATATAATCACAAATAAGGTGTTTTTATTCTTAGAAATAGTGGGTAGGTAGAGCGCCTCAGAGGTCGATTACAAACAAATAATACGTGATAGACAAAAATTACTTTAAAAAATTAATAAATTTTTAATATAGGGTAATGAAAAATAAACAATAAATAATAAGTAAACATTAAAAAAGAAAATTCGTTTGGAACCACCACCGTTTATGAACCCATTCATGTTAATGTTTATATTAATTATTAAATTAAAGAATTTTTAATTAATTTAAATTTTTAATATATAGTAATTTAATATGAACGTAGCTTTTTGGATAAAAGTAGTTTTAAGATACTGAGGTTCTTTTTTAACTTAAAATTCACAGAACACACTTCTCTGTGATAATTAATTGCAAAAATTAAATCTTAATTAAGTTTTTAAGTAAATTAATTTTTTGTCCGATTATACAATATCCGAAACAGAATATTGCCATATATTCATTATTCATAATCAGTCGTCTTTCAGCGGTCTTTGTAAACTGTTATGGTTTTAATTGTCCGTATAAAACATATCGACTGCAAGTCTTAGGCTAGGTCTAGCCCAGCATTGTTCAGGCTATACCTCAGGGTCAAATTGGTTACATCGACCAAACTAGGGTTGTTACTAATTTTTCGAAATTAATTTTTGTTTTTATTAAGATATTATAAATCATACATTATATGATTAATATCCGTTCACAATAATTGTGCCAATAAATTTTATATTATTATATTAATCTTTCCTTAGCTTACAGCTTATATCTCTACAAATTATTTTGTGTCTTATGTTTCTATTCTATATCTAACTTTAACAATTATTTTTTACTATATCTTTCTACTTAAATAATTTTTCTTTACTATCAAATGAAATAGTTCTCTTCTTTCTTACATGACTAAAACTACAATTGTTGTTGTTTTATATTTTTGACATTACTTTGTTGTAACTAATTTTTAATTATTTTTATATACTTTATTTTAATTGTTTTTTTTTGTGTATTCTAAGTTTTCATTTTTATAAAATTTAACTATAATTTTGATTTTTTTTAATATATCAATTAATAAATCATTGTTTTTTTTTTTATAAACTCTATTCTTAAGGTTCATCCATGTGGAAGATATCGTCACAACACTGTCGTCTTTATACTTGCCAAGGAATATAATTTAAAGAATTTGCGCACCATACATCGCTTGGATAGATTAACGTCTGGTTTGTTGTTATTCGGACGTAGTCCAAAGAAAGCCAGACAAATGGAACATCAAATACGCAACAGACAAGTGCAAAAAGAGTACATATGCCGTGTTGAAGGCGATTTCCCAGAGTTAGTATTCACTATAATTACATTTTGATCTTTAAAATGATATAACATATTATTTCCATAACGCAAAGACTATAATTCGCTTTATTAGTTCGAAACCAATCCTATAATTCCACACTTTTATGAATTTCATAATCTTTATTGATTATTAAATTTGTTAAAGAGTTCTATTATTTTATCAATTTATAATATAATATCATCTATTAAATTGATAAAAGAATTTTATGAAGAATTCTATTCTTTTATGAGGAAACGTATTCTTTTCTGATGAATCCTATTCTTTTATGAAAAATCTTATTCTTTTATGAAAGTTCCTATTCCTTTATAAAGAATCTTATTATTTTATGAAGAATTCTATACTTTTATGTAGAGTCCTATTCTTTTATGAAAAATCTTGCTCTTTTATGAAGAATCTTATTCTTTTTTGAAAAATCTTATGCTTTTATGAAAGTTTTTATTCTTTTATGAAGAATTCTATTCTTTTATGAAAGTTCCTATTCCTTTATAAAGAATCTTATTCTCGTCAGGTTTTCGATATCAAAACCATCAATAATTTTTTAGTTTTCTATTTTATATAATGTTTTTACAATTTTTTTTTTCAGAGGAATTATTGAATGCAAGGAACCGATTGAAGTTGTCAGTTATAAAATCGGTGTTTGTAAAGTATCAGCCAAGGGCAAAGATTGCACAACAACATTTCAAAAAATTGCACATAATGGTAAGACCAGTGTGGTTCTCTGCAAGCCACGCACTGGACGTATGCATCAGATTCGCGTTCACTTGCAATATTTGGGTAAGTTCGTGATTTAACTACATAAGCTTATGAATACGAATGTAATTTAAATAACACATCTAATTTTCTCTCAAACTAGGTTATCCTGTGGTAAATGATCCCCTTTACAATCATGAGGTGTTCGGACCGTTGAAAGGACGCGGTGGCGACATTGGTGGTAAAACCGATGAGGAATTGGTACGTGATTTGATAAACATACATAATGCAGAAAATTGGTTGGGAATTGACGGTGACTCAGAGATGTCACTTTTCAAATCAATTAAATCAGACTGCGATGCAGAGAGCATGAGCGTTAGCAGTGGACCAAAGAGTGGTAAATGAAAAATTTTATAAATAAATTAAAAAATTTTAATAAACATTTTTTAATGCATTTCTAGGCAATCTACTTAGTGATGAAGAGTCTATTTCGCGTGAGGCATCACCATGTTCAGAAAGTCCAAGACCAAATGTCACACCATCAATGAGCAATGAAAGCCCCATTGAAACCAACTCTGCTGAGTGTGGTACAACAATGGTCGATGCCAGTACAGGCACATGTACTACTGGCAATAGTAGCATTGGTGTTGGTGGCAATATGACTGTTGGTGCAGAAACACTTATCATCAATGGCACTGGTTTAGCAGCAACGGGCATTCGTGCTAATATGAAGCCTCATGTCAAGGTAGAAGTGGGTGTAGCATGCAATATTTTATTTTGAAATTTGTTGACTAATTATAATTTTTTTTTCGTTTTTCATATTTCACTCACCGATGTTGTTCCTATTATTGCTACATTAAATATTATTGAAAATAGGTCACTGTTGCTACTCAAACTGGTCATGAGTCACCTGACATGGCATTCAATACCGATAAAATGACATCAGACAAACATTGTTATGAGTGTAAAGTACGTTATCGTGATCCAAAACCAAAGGATTTGGTTATGTATTTGCATGCATGGAAATATAAGGTGAATAATCATTAAATTTCTTCTATATGGTTTTCATATTTTATTACTATTTTATATGCATTTAACAGGGTCCTGGTTGGGAGTATGAAACTGAATTACCAAATTGGGCTAGCGCTAAGTGGATTGAATCTGATAGCGACTAAATATGTTTTGCTATCTTAAATTAAAATAAAAAGAAACTTAAATTTGATATAAACAACAAAAGAATATATACACTTACATATAAAGAAACACACAAACACAATCATAACATAAAAAAAAATTGTAAGAAATTATAAAATCATAGTTAAATAATATATGCCTATACATATACATATATATGTTTATTTTATTAAAATATGTAATATATATATATATATATATATATATATATATATATTATAATTATATTTATATAATTTATATAAATATAATATATTTATATATATTATATATTATATTATATATATATATAATATATATATATATATAGATATATTTTATATATGTAAAATATATTTATATGCACTCTTATGAGTAGATATAGATATATATACGTATTTATATGTGTATATATATATATAAATGTAGATAAATATAAATACATATATATGTATAAGCATATATATTATGTTCCAAATATTTATAGCTGTTTACTAGTATATATAATATATGTAAAACTGTTTACTTATACATATATGAAAATGTTTGTGTGTATGTATGTATATCTTTTTAAATTTATCATCTATATATATTTACAAATTTCAATATCTTATTTCTTGACATCCGATAAAGTATTGCTTTATTTTCATTTTTAAATATGTATACTTAATTAATACGTAATGTTAAAATGTGATCCATAAATATTATGGATTTTATTTAAATAACAAAGCACAAAAAAAAAATGACATACCTTTAAAGAAATTTAAAAATTACTAAATTTTTATTTTATTATTTTATCTATAAATTAATTTAACAAAAACAAAAAAAAAGCGCAACAATTTGATACAATAAAATTATATATTTTATGTAAATTGAAGTGTTATTTTTAAATATGAAACATCTAAATATGTTATAATTAAAATCAAAGTAGCAAATCTAAACTAAATATGTTTACAAACTTTATGTCTGTTAAATTAAAATGATAAAAAAATATTCATAAAAAAAATAATTTGTTTTATGAAATAAGTTTTTGTTTACTTTTTGTTATGAAAGTTGTTATAAACATAATATATTAATAGTAATATATATATAAACAAAAGTACCGAGCTAAATGCTTAAATCAAATTTTTTGGTCAGATGCATAGTTTTACATAAAGGAAGTACATATCCAGTGAAAATTATAAAGAATCGAACATACAGAAAATAAATAAAATCTTTCATTATATATGTGTAAAATAAAAACAGATGCAAATCAAATACATAAATAAAAATATAAATATAATACAAAATTTTGCTTATATATATTGAATACTGTGAACAAATAAAAATTTAAAATGTAAAACGAAAATCTTTTTATTTAACACTTGAGACTATGCATAAAGATTAATTATTGATCTTTAATCTTTTATTAAAGATTAAGGCGGCAACATGATTGAATAATCTCTTTATAGACCTTTAGGTTAAAGTTATTTTTTAACTTCCTCATATGAATCCCTGGTTACTAATACTACTATATTAACAGTAACCATATAAATATTATCGCAGGTAACAAGAAGAGTGACAAAATCACCAAAGATGCCTTTAAGACAATGTTACTTTAATTATTAACTCATGAAAAACAGAAATGTCCTGCTTTAATTTATTTCTATCAACAAATTCGCTGCTCAAAAAAACCTTTTCACGCTACTGTAAAATAAAACCAGACCAGAAAACCAAAATATCAAGCTCCTTCCTTATTTAAATCATCCACATTACTATGAAACAAATTCAGATAATGTCAAAACCCATTCACCTTATTTCTTCCGTTTTAAAAATTCTCTCAATAAACTCTATTCTTCAAATAATTCCCGCTACTCTTTAATAAATTTCCGTTATGATAATATCAAACTCTTTTTCATTTTGTTTATTCCGTTTTAAAGAATTCTAATATCACCGATTCTTCTATAAATCAACCAGATCACTGTTATAAATAAATCCGCTCCTTTTTTATCTTATTTCATGCGTTTTAAAAAATTCTAATATTAATATTTCTCTTTAAACATTTAAATAATATTTAAATCATTTTTCACCTTATTTCTTCAGTTTAAAAAATCGCACTACTGACCTTCCTTTTCCAACACATCGCCACAACTCTAAAATATTTCCAGATAATATCAACTCTCCTTTTACTATATTTCTTGTATTTTGGAAATTTCAACAGAATTTAATACAAATCGCTCCACTCCATACAATCTCCACTTATCTAAAATAAATCCAGACATTATAAATCTCTTTTTTAAGTCAATCTCTCTCACCCTTCTTAATTTTATTTGTTACGTTTTAAAAAATATTTTTATCTAACAGTTCCACAAAAAGTCCCGCCTCTAAAATAATTAGAGGCAATATCAAGTTTCACTTCACTTTTTAAAAATTAGAAACCTCATATTCGCAAACTCTTTTTGCAGAAGCCCCAAATCTATGTCAGTACTATTACCTACAATTTAGATAACTCTTCATGGTTATATATTAATCCGTTCGACGAATTTAGCACAGTCTGTGTCTGTTTCATTCTAAAGTAGCCCCTCAGAGATAGAGCTATTCGAATAAAGCTATGCAAATATGCTTTTCGGAAGCGGATTTTGAATATATCTCGCAATAGCCTAAATCAAACTGCTATATCCTATAGCAACATATAAACTGAAAAATTGGATATGAGCTTTCCCCGTTTTTCATAAAGACGTACAAATAAAATTTTGTACAAAATGTTCTTATATTCATATAAAGGAATGTACCATATTGTATTCATGTCCGTTCATTGATTAATGTAAAAAAAATAGTGCTATAATTTATTAACAAAAACTATTTCGAGATAACTTAACGTCCACATATACTGCAAATAATTATTTCAGTAAAATTTGGGAAAGAAGTGGACAAGTAATTTTTCTTTTTAACTTCTCAAATATATTAATATTATAATTCATTTCAAACGACATATTTCAAAAGATATATCATTTTATAGATAATATGTCATTCACATGCAATTAAAATGCTACACTCAAGCATTTTTCTCGTATGCAGACGAAGCGTTTGTTAGCATGACATTTTCAAATCGCTCGAAACACGTTGTAAATTTTAATGGAAATATACAAATGTGTAGAGCTTAATTTTTTCACTCTATAACTAAATCTTTAAGAGAAGACTCTACGGAAAGTATTGTTAACATATATCCGCGATAAAATAACAATACCTATTGTGAGGAGGGAATAATCCATTTCTTTTAAATAGAAAAACAATGTTTCATCTATATGTAAGGGTTTAAAGACGCTCAGTGGGGAGTGCCTGAGTATGCACAACATCAGGAAAAAGATTGTGGCTGCGAGTTAGATACTTCAAATACAACAAGTACTCATTTAATCTTTTCACCCTATCTTTAGAGTGTGCTCTGATTTTATTGTAGACTAATCTCATATTTTTAAAGACATATTAATGGAATTTTTAAAACATACTCTAGAATAATATTTACGAATTATTGCAATGGTCACAATCAAGTCAATACCTATTATGTGAACTGAACAATAGGAGCCGGTTTTTTGAATTATTTATAAAGATATTACCTTTACTGGATTTTATTTAAATTTCAACAAATATAAACCAGAATTATTTTAATCCTTTTTTAATCAATAGGTTCTTCGTTATTTCTTAAATAAGAGTCTGATATGATTCACTGCCAAATCTGTTTTCATCAAACTATATTCTAGAATTTGAAAAATAAAAAATATTTGGTGAGAGATCAACTCCTCAATAATTTTGTGAAACCACAGGAGCATAGTTATAAACGTAGGCATCCGTTCATTGGGAAACAACAATTTATTTAGTCAAGTAGGAAATTTTTGTTATACAACCACAGATTCTGATTCGTAGCCAGAACCTATGTCCAAGTTCATAACCAGAAATTTACTTCAGTAGTTCTGATGCTTTCAGATAATTTCAGTAATTTAAAACTAATTCCTATCAATATGAAATTAAACTAATGATGCATTTATATATGCCAGAATACAATCCTCCGATTCATTTTAGTGGAGGGCTCCAGCCTCTGAAAACTCCCTGGCTACACGCCAGCTCATTATTAGAAGCAGTAAGTAATTGCTTGAACTAATGACAAACAAAATGAGTTTATATATCATTCAATATATCTTAAAAAATTATATTGATTATTCTTTTTATTGGATGAACTCGAGAAAGTTGCAGTCTTGTAGTTAAAGAAATAATTATACTCGTATTAATCAAAATTATTTTATAAAATATACTATTATTAATCAGGAGCTTTCAAGTACAAAAAAGTCCTTTTAAAAATTGGCATCTGTCTTGTTGTTGTTGTGATTTGAGTTAGAGCTATGGTGCACTTTTACATTTTTATGGTTGGGGTGCTTATCCCTGACTCACACTAAGTTTTAACTATACTAAAATTATTAGCATTTATTTATCATTTAACTTATGACGGACCGTAGATCATCACATCTTCCTGTGCATCCTGAGGTGGACTTAAGGTTTGTTAGGATAGGGTTGAGCAACTTATCGACTTTTGTGAATAATTTTAGGGCTCTGTCCTTAATATATTTTTTCACTGAGTCGATTCTTAGATCTCTTGTGAGCGTTTATTAGGAATTGCATACCTCAATAGCACAAATAGGAGAGTATACATTTGAAACGACAGTATATGTTATCCATACATCAAATATAGAATCTGTATCTATTAAATATAGAAAGTTTGGTTTAAAACTTGGGGAGAGTTTCACCGAAATGATTCAATTGGTGAGTCAAGTTTATGGCTTGACTAATTATCACGTGGTGGTGTGTAAGGAGCAAAACATAGAGCAAACATCCTGTATCGGCAATATATTAAAAACATTTGAATAAAAAAACTTTAAGTTTCTTATTGATTTCTTAAATTGAAGAATATAAAATATGACAAAGCAGATTTATGGGTTAAAAACATTAGATATCTTTTGTTTTTAGTAGTTGAATTAGCTGACAGCTAAAAGATAGAAAATTAATAAAACTTCATACATTTATGAATAATCAATGATTCTTGTTTCTTGATTCTTCTT